ATAAAATAATATATATATATATATATATATATACATACATACATACATACATACATGTGTACATAGATATACTATTAGAATCTATGATTTTATATTATTTCGATTAATAGTGTAAAAATAATATATGAATATTACTCTATTGATTATTCATTAATTCTCACATAAAATTTTTCTACACAATTTATATGAGATATCAATACATAATAAAATCATGAAATACTTATCTATAGATAAATATTCGCGGTTAAATATTTTCTATATCAACTACAATCTGCAATTAATTGGTTAAGTAGCGGTAATGTATACAATCTTATATTACATTTCTAATCTAATATAATATTCCATGATTATTATCAATGAAAATTATGATAAGTTTTCAATTAAACTCTAAATTCATTGTACAAATATATTTTACGAATTTTTATTTCGTAATATCTATTTTTCTAATTCGTAATTTCAATATAAATAATAATTCAGCTGAAGTACATTATAAATAAAAATTCGCAAACATTTGAATATTAGTGTAATACTATATTCTTTCGATGATATTCAAAAGACATATAAAATAACTATAAAAAAAATGATATAAAGATTGTTTGATAATTCTTTTAATGTATATAACTGCAACAGAAAAAGATTAATAATTAATATTTATCTTCCTATTTATTGTATGTTATAACATATCGAAATGAAAACAATTAAATGAAACATAAGAATAAATGCTTAATTTTTTAATAATAGAGTTTTTATCTTTTATTTGAAATAGTATTAAATCATAGCATGATGCAATGGTATTTAATTTCGATGAAGTAATGAAACTTGAACTATGTTCAATACGTAGAGTTCACAAGTATTTTGTATTTTATGTTGCTGTCTAACGCGTGATTATGTAACAAAATAAGGTGTATTAGTTATGCGAATACTTTCTCGCATCAGCAATTCGCAATTCTATGCAACATTATACGAGAAAGCGATGAGATACCGCTTCCCGCGGTAAAGAGCACAGTTTTTTCCTCCCTGCAAGTTTTCGATTAACAAAATTGTTCTGTCAAGAAAATTTTCACGCGAGTGAAAGTCTGACTAAAAATGATATTTATTTAAGTTGTTTTATTAATGATGTCCATATAAAAGAACAATAATTTTATACAATTTTTTATTTTAAGTCTCATCGACTTATTGTTATTGACGCGGAATTTTTGAAACGCGGATTATATTTCTCTTTACATATATAAAACCAATATTATTACATATAAATTAATCATATAATGATTAATTTAATTTAAAAATCGAAAGTTGAAAAGTAAACGATCAATTAAGGAGATTGAGACAAAAATCCATGGAATACGTTTATATATGTGTATAGTAAAAACCATTTGAAAAAAATTCACGGATGTGCGAATTCATGTAACGAGTGAAATTTCGTATGTCACGTTACGTATGCGCATGCGTATATATATATGCATAACTATCATTAACGCGTTCTCTAATAAAATTTGATCGATCGAATGAAATTTTATCAATCTACATTCCTAATCATTCAATATGTCTGATTTTTACTAATAGATTTTTAATTTAAAAAATTCTTTTCTCATTTAAGAAAATTAAATTTTTTTTTTTTTGAAGTGACTTTTTCTAAGTGATAGCCAAGTTTCGATACAGGTTATGAAAAAAATTTAACCTAAATTTATTTAAGAATAATATATTAAAAATATTTGCATTTAGCTTTTTTATGAAAAAAAATTGAGATTTCTTGGTGCATTTCTTTAAAGATGAAAAAAAATTCTGAATTTTTATATTTGAATTATAATTCATATAAATAATAATTTATAATATCTTGAGTTATTTCGACTACGTGCTACGTGGGAATATCGTATAAATTTTCGTGTTACGAAAGAATTTCTTATCAACATGACAGGCAGTTTTTATTTTACGCACTAAAAATTATAATCATTTGTGATTATTCTCAGTCGATTTCTTATTTAAACATGATATTTTGAAAAATCGTTCATTAAATTAAAATTCAACTTTAAGCGATATTTTAATTAAATTGTCTAACCTAACCTAGTTTTCATTTTCGAAAATTCAGTTTCAACAGGAACATTAGTGATAAATTAAATAATAGAATATCGAGGTATGATATTATGCGAGTAAATCAAGATATTTTTAAATGTAATCGTTGTGTTACAATATTTTATCAAACGAATTAATTTGATCGAATAATACAAATATATGTGCACATATTACTTACTTGTGACGTAATAATAGACAAGAAATCCTCAATAACATTACACAAATTTTTCGTATCGATTTATATGATTAAATATCATTTACAAATATTATACACTATCTATATATAAATAATAAGAGAAGAAAAATTATAATTGAATAAAGCAAAAACTATAAATTGAAGCAGACAATAATTGAGCATATATTTTATAATATTAGCAACAATTATACATACTAATATATTTAATTAAAAGTGAAATAAAACATTACATATAATATTATGCATTATTCATAGAAAACCTATAAAAATAGTTTAAAAAAAAATGGTACGTTACGACTTTCTCTATTTCTCATTTACAGGTTATGTTTTGTTCAGATAATAGTATGCGAAACTTATTGATGTAATTAAAATGAATAATGCAACAATTTAAAATTTAAAATTTAAATTTGAGTATTAGAAAAATCTAGAATCATATAAATTTTGGTTAAATCATGAATTCTTAAGATTCGTATTCGTTTTCCATTGTTAAATAAGTACATTATATATAAGAATAATATGAACATACATATATATTCTCAATTCTCTGAATTATCGATGACACATTACAATATGGAATTATTTTTTCTTCAAGAGTCAAGAATTACTTTTACACAAGATCTGTCTCGTATCTCGTACAACCTTTCTAACAATAAGTAGAACAATCCTTTCGAAAGCCAAGGATCAATTTCAACGAAACAATGTTTCTATGATCAATGGTATCAATTCGTAAAAGGTGATACTAGTTGATTAAAAAGTATCAATTAAATGCCCATTTTGATTAAGTTACGATGTAACAGTTTCACGCCACTATTCCCGCGTCATTAATGATACATCGACGAAGCACAATCGCGATTCGATATTTCAGACCACTGCCAATTACAAATTGTAAAACCTGCCAATTATAAATGATAGAAGATTTGCACGGAAGATTTCTACGGTAAATTTATCAGGAACGTGTAAGAGATTTGTAAAAAAATAGAACGTTTAACATACATATATAATTCTAATTGTTGTTCAAATAAATATATTATCAACAATTTAATTT